GCCACAGGGGGTGCCACGGGGCCCACTGTAGGGTCAACCACAGGAGCAGGGGTTGTTGAGATTCTATGGCATACAGCATATCACGTGTCTGATCTAAGATCACGGGATTCTGCATATATCTTGTTTTTTGTTGTTGTGCATCCTCAGTCTTACTGCTACTATCTAGCTTGACTGAGGGTGCGTAGTTCCGTAGCTACATCCTCCTGACTACTTACTTAACATACCTGTAGACTTACTAATCGCTGTCATCTACAGGTAAATAAAAGAGTCTTACCGCTACTATCTAGCTTGACTGAGGACTTACTAATCTCTGTCGTCTAAAGTTGTCTACAGGGGTAGGGGTACATTGCATCATATTTTGATCTATCTATTCTCACTGTGGTTATAGCATGCATCATAATTATCCTTCATTTTGCCAGGAGTCTGGAGGCTGTGTCTGGGGATGGTCTGCAGCTACAGCTGTATGACTCTCTGATGCTTTGGCAGGGGCTGGGATATCAAAACTGTGCAAAATTACCTAAATCTTTCGGCTTGGCTTGGGGCACTGATATATAGAACTTGGTTCATTTTGGCATGGTCTGCTCAAGCTGTCAGGTCAAACTAAAAATTTGAAAAATGCGCAACTTGATTCATTAGGCAAATCTCCCAAGTACATGCTCCAGGGACAGCCAACATCATCAACAAGAAATGGCTAATGTTTCTTTTCTCTGTCTGTTTGCTTCAGATAGCCTTTCTGTGCTCAAATTTTCCTCTCCATTTGCAGCATATTCCGTGGAGGTGTCATAATTGTTGATTTCTGGATTTCATACTTCTTGTCTACACACCATTTGGGCCCTTTACTGAATCTAATAAGACTGTAGACTCTTACAATGGATTGAGCAGGACATTTGTCAATTCAATCCTTGCAGGGGTTGGGGGGGGGGTCAACCGCAGGGGGTGCCACAGGGGGTGCCGGGGGGTGCACAACCATCTGCCAGCCTACCAAATGTGGATCAACTGCAAAATCACTTTTCCAAAGCTTCTGTACTGCAACCCAAGTGACTTCTAGGTAACCCTTACCCAATCCCAGTGAAAGAACTTCACTGCTCTTGTTTCTAGCTGACAATTGATTTTATGAGCTTGAGTGTGTATGTGCCCTTTTTAGTGGGAAATGAGGCCATGTGATCAGAGGTAGGGCACCGAAACATTCTAAAATACTACATTCAATATGACTGGTGGCTCATGTCTCTTCAAACCAGCCCATATCTCATGTTTATCAAGACCCTATTTTTCGGACTCATTTCAAGTTTTTGAATGGTTCCAGGGTCCAGGGCTCTCAGAATTTGTTCCAGACACTGCCAAACAGTGATTCATTCAGCTGTATTGAATTGCTTGTGTGTAGAAAAAATATTTTTTGCCATACCCAAAGTGAACCATGTTCAACCATTGTCTACATAGGAACCTTGTGACAATCAACTCAAAAACAAAGTTGAAAAGAGAAGTGAATTCAAAGACTGGAGAATACAACCAAGTAGCTACAGTATTTATACCCAAATCCAGTCTGAGTCATATCTACAACTAATGAGTCATAAGGCTATGTACCGCATGGAGCGCTGGTCATGGGTTGTAGTAGAACCTTCTGGAGCATATGTCACACAGCCTTGGATCAATAAAGATAATCCCCAGACCCCTAGCCTGGACTGTCAGATGCCGTGATCTGCAATAAGATAATCTGCGCCGAGATAAGATAAGATCGTTGATGATAAGATGAAAAAAGGGGCCAAATTATGACAAACCTTGAGCAATGTTGAACTGTTTTCATGTTTCAAATTTTGGGTGGACAAAAGATATGAAGTACCTACATATTCAACAAGAATAGCATATGGAGACCTTATTCTGATAGTTTTCAGCTGCATAACTGTAGGAACAGTGTTAGAAGAGCAGTAAACATTTAGGTACGATGTTTATACAGGGTCTGATTGACTAGTGACTTGACGTGTTCCGAGCTGTCAGTTTACATAATCTTGCATATAAGAAAATGGCAGGGGCAGGGCACCGGTGCAGCAGGGGGTGCTAGACTGGCGGAGGTGCCAGCGGGGGTGCCAGCGGGGGTGCCAGTGGGGGTGCCAGCGGGGTGCCAATGGGGGGGTACCAGCAGGGGTGCCAATGGGGGGTACCAGCAGGGGTGCAGGCAGTGCGTCTTGGCAAGGATGTATGCAGCCCCAAGGGCAGCAAAAGCAACCATCTATGTCTCTACAGTCTATCTTGCAAATATACAAGCTCTGAGTGCACAGAGTGTTGTATATGAAATTTGAAGTTCAAATATTACCAATCTCTGACTATTGTGAGACAACTTGCTGGTGAATCTATTGTCTCATATTCAACCTAGGAATCAATCCAGGGCATGTCAAATCCACTCTATTACATCTGTTCTGTGTTGCTTTACAAGCAACTGCTTGTAAAGCAACACAGAACAGATGAACTTCAATGAGTCCCAGACAGGAAGTGTGACATTAGGTGTGTAATTAACGTGTGGTATCATCCACAGGGTAAGATTAGACTGTGCCTACAGCATGATCAGTTTACCAATGGGCATGTATATAGAATGAGCAGACAAAACAATCAATGAGTTGACAGTGGACCCAATGCAGCCCATGATGTCAGCCTACCTACCCTGCCAGCCAAAAAATGAACAAATCACACTTTCTTTTTAACCCTACATGCCTGGATTCTGCAGAAAATATTGCAGAGTTTTGATATCCCAGCCCCTGCCAAAGCATCAGGGAGTCACACGGCTGTAGCTGCAGACCATCCCCAGACACAGCCTCCAAACTCCTGGCAAAATGAAGGATAATTATGCTGCATGCTATGACCACAGTGAGAATAGATAGATCAAAATATGATGCAATGCACCCCTACCCCTGCTCCTGCGGTTGACCCTACAGTGGGCCCTGTGGCACCCCCTGTGGCACCCCCGTGGCAGACCCCGCCAAATGATGGGATCAAGTGCATCACCAATCCCGTTGTGCAGGGTGCATTTTGGGCTTTCTAAGCTCAAATTCATGCTTAACTATTGTATTTACCTGTAGAAATGATACCAGGATGATTTGGGAAGGCTTCCATTTTTTTGGGCGGAAGATCACGTGATTATGCGCCCATTGTCTGCCACAGCATGCAATGGATCAAGCAACACCTCCAAAATCATGCCGGATGGTGCACAAAAGGTGCCCCCAAAAGTCACATGATAATGCACCCACTGCCCACCATGGTGTGTGGGGGGGCAGTAGCGCCCCCGCCAACCCCTGCTAGCCATTTTTGATAATTTTCATGTGGTGCATCACATGATTTTTTACCCCCGCCATCAGCCGCCATCCCGCCCATTGGATGTGTCATGTGATTCATTTTTTCTTTTTGTGCCCACCTCCCTGCTCCCAATGATAAATCACATGATATGTACAGACCCCCCCCTGCACCCCCCCTGCTGACCCTGCATATGCCCCTGCCCCCAAATGGACCAAATGCCCCCCTCGGGCCCCACAGGGGGGTGCAACCGGGTGATGGCGGTGGTAACTGAGGTGGCTTCTAGACAGTACTGATATTTAGTATATATAAAGGAGGTAATTTACAGAATACAAGTTGGTTCTCATGCTTATACCACCAATCAACTTCGACAAGGGAGCCGTATACAAATGCTCAATAATCGCGAAGTTTCCTCAGGAAAATCTTCAATTTTTGACTCGAATTGAGAGACATCTGACCCGAGTTGAGTGCCCATAGAGCAAAAAATGAATACAATCCACCCTGTGTATTGTAAAATTAACCTCAAGGCTCACATGAAGGCTGTCCATCTGCTCCGCCGGTCCAATGCCCGTAGATGACAATCATCACTGGTCGACCCATTGAAAGTGAAAGCAGTGGGACTCGTAGCCGAGCACACGTGCCTTCGACAAGCTCCAGTGAGACCCGGGTTGGTCCCACTCCTATAGGTTTGGTGATTTCTCCCTCAGCGCCAACAACAGAACAAGCTTGGAACGGTAACAGCGTCTCAAAGAACACTGCCCCGTCGCAGCCAAAGATTGCAGGACTCGGGAAATGAGAAACAGTAGATAGTTTGTTTGATATATCTACTTGTAATCATCCCGACCACAAACTGCCCAAAGTTTGGTCGCGTGCCGCCCTTTGCCGCCCAAAATTCAACAATACCGCCTAGTAATGTGGTGGTATAGTAGTAAAAATGTGTATTTGGGGTCAATAACCCTCTCTAACTAGGGCAAAAGTTGCGCGTCGCGCGACCGATTTTGGACATTCACCCTCAGCTGTGGTCAAAAGTCGCTCAGATCTGGAGATTACGGGCAATGCCAAGCAGATTTCAACGACTCCTCGAGGGGCGGGGGAAGGCACGTCAATAGACCCGGATCATAGCTGTAGTCGGTAGTAGTGCCGGGAGAAAAATGGATTTACCCTCCGAGAATAGAGCAGAAATTGGCCAAAACTCGAAAAAATTCAGAGTAAAAGTATCTGAGCTGGTGGAGGATGTTCATCCTAAGTGTCCGAGGGCCTCCCTCGCCGCAACAAGAATACAATTCGGGGACTAGAGTATGACATCCATCAAAATATGATCTCGTATATCATATTCGTACACTCTGCCATCCCTCGATCAACTTCACTTGACTTCAGTTCAACTTGGGTCGACTTCAAGTCAACTCCAGTTATTCAAGTCAAGGGTATTTTTATGAAAAGTGGTATTGAATATATAGATATTAGACACTCTTTGAGCATGATACCAAGCTCCAAGAGGTCTCGATCAGCCCAGGAAGAATGTTGGAATGGTGACCATCGGTCGGATCAGTACTGATGTCTAGCTTTCGCGATGTCAACGGTACAACTGATGGAACAGGTCGGCATAACTTTCTAATACACGAGACTGCATACTAATGTTGACCGAACATCAAACGGCGCATTCGTCGTCAAGACCGGGACTTGGATTTTTCTGGAGTCCCGCGGGGTATTCAGTAGGCCCTCTACAAAGACCTGCGCAGCTCTCTCCAATCACTTGCAGTCCTTGAGTCCGTGTTTGCACCATTATACACACCCTCGTCGCTCTCGTCAGCCGTGCTCGTAATCTTCTGCAAAGCCCCGAACAGCATGTTGAGATAAATCGCGACGTCAGACGGTCGCTCGATCCCCGCGTGGAGCACCATCAGCTCACACAGTGCCCGTTGGCGGGGAAATCGCCGAGTCGCCAGGAGGCTGAAAGCACGTGCGGCATCACACGCGTCGAGCGGAATCTTCAGCGTGCGGAGCGATCGGCAGTGCTCGGCGAAGGGTGCAAGGCAGGGCAGTGTGACGCGTTTGCCCCGGGCATCAGCGGACCACAGCCTCAAGTCGACAATATGGGGGAGATTTCGTGCGAGAATCCCCAGACTTTCGTTGGTGATGTCGAAACCACCGTGCGATTCAATGCATATGGTCGTGAGGGAGGAAAAGAATGGACGGGAGAGGAGGGTGAGGCTCCACAATTCACTGTCTTCGCGGTGATCCGAGGTCGAGACGTCTAGGAGGCGCAGCTCTGAAGAGCCTCCAGTGATGGAGGACAGGAGGCTTTCGAAAGCTGAGTTAGGCACAACTCCCCTCAGTCCGAGGTGTAGATTTGACAGCGGCGACCTGGTCAGCGCTGAGAGAAGCTGGTTTGCCTCCTCCTGCGTGACAGCCTGCAGCTCCAGTGCTTGGAGGGAGGGGAAGAATGGTGCCTCGACCGGGAGGGCAGAAAAATCCTCGAGATCCATGACGAAAGTTGTAGATAAGGACTGGAGTAGTGGAAGCTCTCCTAACAAGTCGAGAGTCTGTCGATTTGTCACGTGTGCCGAGGCGGAGCGCAGATCTGTGTACACAGCGAACACAGATGACAGAAAATCAGCGGGCACTTGGTCTTGTGACGTATCCAAGTGTAAACTGATATCGCGCAGCGTCCTGGAAAACCGATGCGAGACTTCCAATAAAAATGCCATGCTTTCATCGATATCCCCCACCAAGCTTGGGGTCCAGATGTGCAGACTGGTCAAATTCGGTCCGAGAAACGGGTTCATAGCAGTCAGGTCGTTCTGATGCCACATGAGGCATTGTAACGAGACCAAACAGTTCTCGGGGGGCGGGCAGATGAGGATTCCACCCAGCGATTGACTCACATCGAGTGCCGGTATTCCAGACGCCTGGCAGGTCAATTTGCGAATTACAGCACCGTAAATTTTCGGGCGGGTCCAGTCTTCAACAACAAGGTCTCTCCGCAAATACAAAATGCCTGGGTGGCGGAGAAGTCAGCCCCTGCTGTGTGGTGGAAGTGAAAATTGAACGATAGAGACCACTTACGAGAGGTCCCAGAACACCTGTCTGTATCCCAGACATCCTCCGGCATCGTATATCTGAGCCAATTACCAAGCTCAACGGCGACCCAGAGCACTTCTATTGCTGGCTGAAAAAACGCATGACATGTCTGGGCGAGAGCGGCAAGGGCTCTTTTCAGCTCGTCGTCTCCAATCGCTTCGCAAATCAGATGGCGGATTTCGGCAACCCTCAGTGCGGGATGCATCCAGGTTTGAGAAAATTTAGGAGGTCCAGAGTACAATGTCGAATGGGGAGTCGCTCATAGTACCGCAAACTGCTGTTCAAGTTATATGATATGAAGATAGGGGTCGGTCGTCTGCGCTATCCGAGTCGACAAATCGAGATCGACTCCTAGGTTTGGTGGTGAACCAGATTCTTCTTGAAGCTCGAGGAGCGGACGTAAGTGTGAGGAGCTATCATTGAGCGACCGGTACGGTGCGTTTCTATTGCCGGAAGACGAGAGCCTGTTCGAAGATTGATGAGCATTGGCTAACGCCAACGCTCCGAAGATGGCTTGCCGAAGCAATTCCGGACCAAGGTGCTCAACGAAAGATGGGCATATGATCGGTTTGGCTTCGACTTGCCTCGTAACCGACGAAACTGTCGAATTTCTCCAAGGAGTATCTACGGCCCGAATTCTGATTTCAACTTGCCTACTCATTGAACACTCGTTAACTGACTATTTCGGCACTGAAACCCTCGGTGATCCGAGTCAGTCCGCTCACACGGATCGGCCAGGTTTGCAGGGGGAGATGGCCTAATGAAGAGGATTCGCTCCAACGGACCGTTTGGAGGGGGCGTATCTCTACTGCTCTTCTGGAGCTCGCTTGTTTCAACGTTTACATGTGGATTAACCTTTTCATATCTGCTCTCGCGGGCCGGGCCGGCAGGCACTCATGATTATTGTTTATCACGAATGTATCTTCTGACACCAGTGGGATTCGCTATTGAAAATGCGCTCGGAGGAACAATGAGGGTTCGTAGTTCTTTGGAACAGTCCTTTCGTAAGTTCTCGCCTGAAAATTGGCCACTTGTGCGCAAATGCGGCGAATGGGCGCGACACTCTGCAAAAGAAAATAAAGTCTGGGTCTGTATATAGGAATATGTAAACGTTCCTGTTTCTATTCTGCTTTCCAATCGAGTGCATCCGAACCGCCAGACATGGGAGAATCGCTTGGCACGGTCGGATGCCAGGTATGCATCTTTTGGGCGAGGGACGTCAGAATGGATATCATGATAGAACCGCTCAAATCTTGGCACTGATATTCACCTGATGGACACTTGTAGTTTTAAATGAGTTATACGTCACGATTTACTCAACATCTATTTCTGGCTCATCAGATTACAGCCTTCGCTTGAGCCCGCCCCGAATCTACCCATAGCAGCTCTCAAGCCACTGAATAATGTGAGTGATACAGCTGGGTATGCAACCTGCGCTCACCTCGTTCCCTCCCTACAACATTTACTGAGAGATGAAAATCTGTTGACCGTTTAATTTTCTCTCCAGGCAGTCAGTCAATACATTGGTTCCAGTATCTACAACATGGCCATACTAGTGTAGGATGTCACGGTGCCCATGAGCTCACCCCCCACAACCCCGCTCCATCATTGTGAGGTTTTCCTCCAAGACAGAAGGGGCATCACATAGTCTACAATGCAGCAATATCGATAGCGAGGAGACCATGATTCGGCATTCAGGTCCAATCCTGGCTCAAAACGTTTTTCGGAACTAGTAAACAGTAAACTCATGTCAACTAAACACTTGAGAACAATCTGCACGAAGCACCAATAATGGAATCGAAGGCATGGCTGAATGCGAAAATCAGAGGTGAGAACAACAGAAATTTGAGAGCCTTCCGCAGTTGGTTAGGACCTTGTATACGGAGCGCTGATACGGATGAGGGGTCCAGATAGCAAAAGATTTCTCCCCGGGGAGGGGAGGCTAGAGTGAGGAATGTTCATTCACAACCTTTGGAGGGGAGCCAATCAGCCCTTCCCCGCGGACTTTCAGAAGAAGAAGCACTGGTCGATGCAGAGACTCGATTCGATGCCAATAAGTATCATCGAGTGCAGAAGGAAAAACTCACGTTTCTGAGGCTTCTATGTCATCGTCGGCTACCTTTGCAGATCCGGGTAGAAGACACCGAGCCTCCACACAAGTTAGATCTGTCCGCTTGTGGCATGACAATAATATGAATACGGAGCCATGGAAATTCTTCGAGATTCAGTGTCCGATAGCAACCATATGATCAATGGTTACTACATACCTCACTTACCAATTACAATCCGACGGGAGTCCATTGCTTGAACATATGTCCACCCGCCACCAAGATACGGCCTCCTTTTTTGTATATAGTTTACTATTATTACCGGACCTTACGCCACTGCAAGGCGTTCGGATGTTTCTTCCGTTTCAACAAAGCTGGCACGCCCTCGTCACTTTGTCACAGAGCCAGTCTCGACGAGTTTCAACTTCCGTAGACCCTCGACAGAGTGACCTACAATCTTATATCAAGTTTGGGAGATAAACATGCACGCAGCGTGGATTTCCAAGCGTAGAAAAAGAGTTTGCCTCGGTTCCTCGGCACAAGGGACCGAAGATGACGATGTAACATTGTCGCACTGCATGTATGCAAATCGCGTACCGATATGAATTGAATTGGCGGTATTCAGCGGCTCAGACCGGATGTAAAACCCACAGTTCGATCCTACAGCCATCCTTGCGAACTGGCGGGGACTTGGACCGTATGTAACTTCCAGATGCCAGATGCCAGCAGAGGTTTTTTTCATCACATGCAAGTGCGGAAGTTTGAGCCACATGCATTCGATGCCATAGCCGTAGCTCAGTGCGGCAAACGGAGCAGTCAATAAATAGTTTTAGAAGCTTCTGTAAAGCGGAGAAAGCAAAACTTTGACTCGTATTCTGCTTGAATTGTGGACGTTGGTAGTCGCACATGATATCACCTTCATCAAATTTGCCCTACTGCTCTATAGACTGGGCAGGTATGAGTTGCCCGCGCGAGCTCGGAAATGATCAGAATTCTAAATCCAACTACGGAGGAAATAAGAGGATGAGCTCGAGCATTCCCAGCTTCAATCCGCCTAAAAATTCTGTTTCAATTCCGATCGCCAAAAGGGCGGTCACAGGAAGGCTTGAAAGCGCAGAGAAGGGAATGTTCTCAAAAGCTAGGAAGATCTCTAAGAGCGATCAGAGCACATTTTTCATGTCTCAATCTGGCCGAGCATGCTGCAAGGCACAATGGCGGGACCAAGTTCTGGAGTAAATTCGCAAATCAGAACGCCTCACTCTCGTAGCGGTGACTCTCGAACGCGTTTTGATGAAGGTATTCCCGGTCGACTACCAGATATTGAATCTTATCAACAACAATCATCAATGGACGTCGATACTGAGGATTTTTACGGCCCGGATCTCGCGTTTCGCTGAGCCGCACCCTTTCGGGATGGCCTGTGATATTCCCACAAGCTGACTCTCAAGCCGAGCACACTGGCTACGCAGCCTCGCTCCATGTGGATCTGCAAATGTCCATCTGTAGACTTCTCGGTGCCACTTTGAGCGGATCACCGCTCTGAACCCCCTCGGTCATTTTTCGAGAACGCGTCCTGTCGGAGGAGAGAACCGATTGATCCTGATTGGTTTCATCCGGCTGTCTCGCATTCTTGGCAATCTCGCGAAGTGTTGAATGGATGCTGTCAGCACACTGCTGCAGGTCTTCGCCCACCTCCGCTGTCATCCCACGCCGGTCGCTCTGGCCGTGTTCAAGCAATTGGGCTGCCAGGAAAAATAGGACCTCTGAATATTCATATACGGTCAAAACTTATGTCGGATCTTTCGGTCGATTCTTGTCCAACGCAAATCGAGGGCCTGCAGAATTCCCCGCGGGACTCCCGCAGATCTGGCCCAGCGGGACCCCTGAAAAATCAAAGTCCCGATCTCGACCACGGCGGCACTGTAAGATGTTCCGTCAACACTAGCATAGAGTCTGAGGTAGTAGAAATATATCCCCATGTGTTGCATCAGTCGTGGTGTGGACATCGTTGAGGACGATGAGGTCGAAGAATAGTGTCCCGCGGCAATCTACCTAAAGCGGTACTAAATCCAGCAGGACTCCAGCGAGAATGGAAAATGACCCCGCGGGGGTCCAGCGGGAGTGCTTAACTGGTGTCACGTGTGCGGGAGTCCCGCGGGACCACACTGCATCTAAGGGGGTAGTAGCCAGGGGGTCTGTAGCCACAGTTAGCCAGGGGGGTCTGGCTATCCCTGGATCTGACAGATGGCTACCCTCTGGCTACTCCAGGTAGCCATAGATGATTTAGTTTTGAGTCCTAATGGTCCCCAAACTCATGAAGGAGATGTCCAAGCGTTCCCTAATTGTTGCCGGTAAAA